CTTTTGTCCAAGTTACCAGGAACATATGCAACCCTTTGAGTTAAACCCAGCAGCAGTATACGTGGCCACTGTTGGGAATTTTACTTGCCACATCTATTCGTTTCCCAAATTTGTTCCAAAACAGGGTAATGTTTTGAAATGATTTAACAAAGGTGTGTGTTTGTGCTTTGTATTCCTAAAGGAATGTTGATAAGCGCCAACTAATTGACTGATTTTAGGAGTAACGCTTGTGTGTAAAGTATTGTGTACGTACGTGGATTCTCAAGATTAATGTAAACCATGTTTTGATGATCAATTTTAGATTGTTACGCTGTGTGTAAGCGGCAGCCCAAGCGACAAAGTATATATGTAAGAAGCAGCGCAAAATTATTAAAGGAATGGACGTGGAATTGGGCTACAAGCCTGATGTTTTCAACGGAGACTGCGACCAGATAGCTAGAAAATGGGCTTTCTAATAGTGGGAGGCAGGATGTCCCTTGGGCCAACAATTTCGGCTTAGTGACATTTTGGATATCATTATCGGAAACTGTTTTTAGTAGGAACTAGGACGGCAAACTAGTTGATGTGCTCGCGGGCGGCTCTACGTTTAGGTCGAGAAATTTTTGTACGATACTTGATATATTTACGAACAAATTGAGTATGAACGTTATCAGTTTGATGTACTCGCGAGTTAGATTGACTCGATGGCTGATTGAACTCAATTTATTAGTTGATTTGTTTTGAGTTTATGAGTTGACTCGACAATGCGACTAAGGTTCGACTAGCAATTTATGAACTAGTCGATCTATAGCTGGAGGTGGTGGTGCATGCGTAGCAAAGTAAGCACAAAAATGAGTTCATCGTCAGGCGATAAACGTAATAAGGTGATGACCAAGGAGGAGGGCACGAAGGGGTGCCTTCATATATGCAGCTAGAGATATCCTCCATAACACATATTGCCATCGTCGTGTAGGAGGTCGAGCATGGGAAACTAGCTGTGCGTTGAGGTTTGAGCTTTACCTGTTTTGAACATAATTTAGAAAGCATATCATAACCCTTATAAACATTACCAAAATTGACAGTGACGTAGCTAGAAATTTAGTTGAGGTAGGTCCTATGTTAAAAAAATATAATTTTTATTAAATGCTTTATAATGATCCACGACGTATTTTCACATTACGAAATTTTTTATAAAATACGTTTATTATCCAAACTATCAACAATGTCACTTTCATTGAACACTACCAAAAGATAGTTCATGATCTCATCATTCGAAGTGTGCTCTGCACAACGTTTATTGCAGGAAAAATGCTCATTCAACACTTAGCGTGTGGGATCTTAACTATCCTTCCTTTGCACCGTTATTAAGTTCTCTTCATGGGGTTCAAACCCTATAACAAGATGCATCCTCAAGGTACCATCAGATATAGTTTTTTTTACTTCCACTATTTTGAGCTTAAGTATGATGCTATGTGGTTATATTGTACATCTGGACCTTACAACACTAGGAGTTGATATCCTGGCAGCATGGTCTGGAGCTGCAATTCCGGTAGGTATTGTTGGAGACACTAGCATTGACCCATTTAATATAATCTCTGAAACTTTCAAGTCATTCCATCGATGTCAAAGCCATATATGATGTTGAGTTTGGATATGAATCAGGCTAAATTGGTCCTTAAAAGGTTGTGGTACCTGAACAAGTTTATGATGTTGGGGGTGAATGATTATGTCTGATTGTTGTGTGACCAAGGATATAACAATGATAAACTTGGACACAGTCACATGAGATTAGAGTACTTGCCATTCGATAGCAACAATTTTGAACAATTTAAGATCTTAACTATCCTTCATTTGCACTGTTATTATGTTCTATTCAAGGGGCCGAAACCCTATAACAAGATACATCCTCAAGGTACCATCAATTTTTTACTTCCAATATTTTGAGCTTAAGTATGATGTTGCGTGGCTATATTGTACAATTGGACCTTACAACACTAGGAGTTGATATCCTGGTAGCATGGTCTGGAGCTGGAAATTCTGTTGGTCTTGTTGGAGACACTTGCATTGACCCATTTAATATAGTCTCTGAAACTTTCAAATCTTATCCCTATGCCAATTCGAAAACAACTCACATTAAATCATTCCATCCTTTGTGATTTCCGACAACTATCAAGTTTGATATACAGAAGGGTTTTTTAATGATAAATGTGATTAGATCTCCTATATACATATTTTTATCCTTCGTGTTTGTAACACATTAGACACATTAGATTAGAGTCCTTATAGTTCTGCAACAACAATGAGACTGTGTAAGATCTTAACTATCCTTCCGTTGTATTGTACTTGGAGAATCCCAAGATATCTGTTACTTATGCGTTTTACCGAATAATCACAAATGTTGGTTGTCGTCCTCTCGGGGACATCCGACAAATGTTGGTTGCCAAAAATATTTAGTAGGTAATGATGGCACTAAACCTAAAACCATCTCAAATTTCTCTCCTTAATGAAAAGCACCATTAAAACAAATTTCATCACTTGGGTGAAATTGGGCAGTGGCCAATCAAGTGCACTTCCATAGGTTTCTTCACTATGACTTCTTTATATTTATAATGGTTGAACATAACATAAATTTGTCTAGAATGTTCTATTCCTTTCATATGATATAGATGCGCCAAATAAATTATATGGACCATTACAACTAGTTCAAGATGGAAGTAGTTAGAAAAAAGTTCACAATTAATGTTTTAGTAGCAAGAAGTATAACACATGAGTGATTGTTATATAAGTTATATATAACATTGGTTTGCAATATGTGTTGATCCTGAATTACTGAAATTATTGATGATCGTCACATCACCTTCCATCACTAAGCCAACACAAAGTAAAAGAAAACTGTTCCAAATTAAACCATGATGTTCTAGTTAGGGGTGACAATAAGTCGACTCATTGGATATTTTGATCCAAATACCAAGACCCACATGAGTATTGTGTTAGATCCAAATGGATTCAATTTTTTTTCTTTCTCTTTAAGGGTTGAGATGATTTATATTGGGTCTAATTTGATTTGACCCAAATGAGTTTATTTGGATGCAAGCTATAATTGATTATGAAAGAACCAACTGAATCCCAAATGATTTCATTCTGGATATGAAGTATACTTTCTTTCTTTAAGATTTAAAAAGGTCGGAAAAGAAGAATAAGGAAGCACAACCGAGTATCGAAAAGATAGGGTTAGGTAAGAGTCATTTGGTTCTTGTTTGAGATCCATCCAAATTAAATATTACTCATACCTAAACTGACCCATAATAATTTGAGTTTGAGCAACACCCACTTGACATTCTTTTTCGCCATCCACAATACCATTTTCAGATGCTTTGCATTGCTTCGGAGTCCCCCTAGTCTACATGAGGAGCTTCAATGGCTTTCCAATGCGCAACATCAAACAAACTATCCAATTTGTAATGCATAAACCAGCTTGAGTAAAGATTCTTTAGGTTTGTAGTGTCCAGAACTCTCTGCTCCTAGTTTTTCTCTCCTTCGTTGAAGCAATCCAACTTGTAATAAGGTCATCCTTTTTAATGCACAAAATTTCTACGCCAATATACTGTTCTTTTTCTAAATATATATTCCTAGCTTTCATCATTCAACCATATATGTATATTGACACATGTTACAACTAATACCTCTCCAAACATTAACCGTTTAATTTGGCGAACATCTTTCTCTAAAGTCTAAACATTTTATCCTCTCTGTTGCGCCTAAGTTAGAGAGGAACGAAAGCCAAAGAAACCACGACTGGGCTCCGAACTCGATGACCCGACGACCCGGCCCACACCAAAGAACCCGATAGAACCTGATCCATCTCCTGGCCCAGCTGCTGCAGCGCCGGCCCATTCACTTCCACCTTAAACGTCTTCTTCTCGCCCACTTTCTCAAACTCCAACCTCGCCGGCACCACCCTTATCTCCATCCCTGCTGGAGCCGTCGTTGTTGCCACGTAAGTTGACTTCGCTGGCCCCACGTTGGTGACTGTGCGCTCGAAAACGGCAGCGTACGGTGACGTGGAGTCGAGTGCCACCTGGAGGTTCATGGACGGGTAGTTGACGAAGTCACGGGTGTCGGAGTATTTAGACGGCGACGGGCAGCTCACGTCTCCTCCGTCCGTCATTATGCTCAACGACGTGTTGGAGTAGCCCTCCGAGCAGAGAAAACGGACGTAGTCCAAAAACGACATGTCGTATACCAGCCCCGGATCCAGTGCCTTCACCGGGTCGATTTCGCCCGACCCGTACGCGTACTCCGCCAGTGGATTTTGCTCTTTCGCAACCCGCGCTGAAAATCGTGAATAGATCGAGAAGCGTCATTTTAGTCATCAATTTTTTGGTGTTCTCTTTTTTTTTTTTTTTTGGTTTATGATAGGTAGAAAAATTGTGCATGGTAGTGGAAGAATTAATATATTGTATACGTACCGGTGGTCATGAGGGCGGATTTGACGGCGGCGGGAGACCAATGTGGTCGGTGGGACTTGACAAAGGCGGCGGTGGCGGTGGCATGGGGACAAGCCATGGAGGTGCCACTCAAGAATCTGAAAGGATGGCCGTATGAGTTATCTTCCCCGGGTAGATACGGCGGGAAAGCTGCCAGGATGTTCACTCCCGGCGCCATGACGTCCGGCTGTGCAAAATTATTCACATAATTTCATGAATTACAGCTAATTATCGCTAACAATTAGGGTTTGGATATTTTCATTTAATGTCACAGACGACAAACCTTCAAAATAGTTCTGGACTGCTGGTTGGGACCTCTGGACGAGAAAACTGCAACGGCCGGAGCAGTGACGTTGACACCCGTGGTCTTCAATATATATGCTCGAGGATTCCTGCATTCAATAAAGTCCTGATCATTCTGTTGCCGCCGAAGTAATTAACATAACTAAGCATTTTGATTAATGCTATTCTCACCTTTATATAAAAAAAAAAACATAAGCATTTGATTATTTGAAGGTACGTACTTGGTAGAATTAATGTAGCCATCGACTGTTTGAGCCCAATCGACTGGGGGTCGCTCGGGTCCAAGGGGTTTGGGGTGTCAGCCATGACCTTGAGGGGGTAGGCGCCCCGCCTCGTCCGAAGTAGAAAAAGAGAAGAAGTATATAGAGAGAGAAAGTAGAGAGAAGTTAGAGTAAGAGTAGATAGATTGCCATTTATGAGGAGAGAACTCATATTTATACACATTTGAGAGTTAGGTCGTGGTCTGGGCGCCTGCCAAGCCATAAATGTTGTGGTCGGGCGCCTCAGACTTTCTGACACTGTACATAGTCCTTTTTGACAGAGGGTGTCCCCCTGCCCCTTGTCCTTGCTGATGTCAGGTGCCTGGGCTTGTCTCTTGTCTCCCAGCCTTGTCTTTTTGCTCTTTTGTCTTCTTTCCTTCTTTATGCCATTAGCTAGAGTTTTGCCTCCTTAGTAACTAAGATACCCTATGGCGCCCCGCCTCGTCCGAAGTAGAAAAAGAGAAGAAGTATATAGAGAGAGAAAGTAGAGAGAAGTTAGAGTAAGAGTAGATAGATTGCCATTTATGAAACGAAACTTCTTGAGTAAAGAAGAACTTTGTTTAATTTATTAAAATTTCCTTGTTGCGTTACATAATTGGTTCACAAATGAATCATCTGACCAATCGAGACTATTAGCTAGACACCAGTTGTTAAGCCGGGCATCACCTTTAGCACACCCTTCACCCCTGCAAAATATGGTTCACAAATGAAATTAAAATCCAATCAGAATGTATATTTTGGTGATTACTTTGGGTAGTAATTTAAATATATTCTGATCACTTACCTGCCAATTTTTTGGCCTCAGCTTCAGTGAGTACTGCTGCAAATGTCTCGAACCACAATTTGGTCTCTATAAGTACGTCTTCTGGTTTACTGTATGTATGGGCCACATTCAAGATCCAATTAGAGGTGGAAAAAATGCGAGCCAAAAAGTTGTTAGTTAGACGCGAGAAATGATTTCCTTGGTCATTCTTTACAAGTATAATAACTAACCGCGATCGTAAACTAAATGATGATAATAACAAAATTAAAAATTTGAAACTTTCGACTTTGCTCATATTCTAAATAGATGATAAATCATGTGGCACGATGAATCGATACTGACGATCAAATGCTTTTTTCTTTTAACTTCTAATAATAAAGGTAAGAAACAAATGTTTTGTTTTTGATTTTAGAGGACCTTGTAATTAGAGTTATTTTGAAAACTTACACTCCTTGAACAACACCTTTGAGAAGGGCCAAATGGGCAGATTTGGTATTGGGTATAATTGACGAATCCAAGTCCACGTTATAGATCTGCACAACACAACCCATATAATAACTAATAAGGAGGAAATAACATAGAATTAGGAAAAATTCCTATTACACTTTCAAGTCACGTGATTTAAATTTAGAATATGTTATCACAGATCTTACAAATTGCAACCAACATCACATAACATTTTATGGTGAAGTGTTTTTTCCTAGACGCGTAACAAGTATCGTGATAGCAAGGAAGCGTCTACTATTGCAGACATTTTTATTTTCCTTCAACAAGTGAATGCTGAATTGTAATTGGGTGTTAACAATTTAATCTTGCCTTTCTGGTGGTCTCATCGGCCGCCTGGGTATGCAGATTGACACTGGCAACAAAGATGATGAGGGCTACTAGACGGACCAATCTCAGAGATGCAACAGCCATTTTGTTTCTGTTGATGAATGAAAAGCAGATGCCAGTTATTGGAGATGACATTCTCTATCAACTCTATCTATCAATATATATCTTCCCAAGCCACAAATTTATTTCAATGTGCATTTCCCAAACAGGGTGTAACATAAAATTTGTGAGAGCTATTTAATATTGGGGTGAACGGCAAATTCATGGGCATGCTCCTTAATTGACTTCTAAGTTCTAACTCCATAATTTTAGCGGTTCGAAACCTAATATAGTTAGGAGAGATTAAGGGGTTGTTTGCTTGTAGGAATCATTAAATAAGAAAGAAATTTTGGATAATTTTGGATTTTGAGATTGAAGAATTATATTGAATTTTGCTATTTTGTATCTATGTTGGATTTTATAATTTACTTGTTGGCTTGTTGAATTGTAAAATGATTTTTTCTCCTATAGATTTATTGGTTAAAGAAGGCATTTACTTTCATATCCTTAATGAAGTATTAATTATTTTGTATATATATAATTGATCAAAGAAGGAATTTATACTGCACAACTAGGTGAGGAGGTGAGGGGCTAGGTGCAAACACCCAACGTGTTAGCATAATGCTAATACTAGCTCCAAACAATTAAAATATTTCGTTTTAATGACAATTTTTATTCCCAAGTGTTGACGAGAATTAACGAAGATTTACAAGGGGATATTCTTGTCATCATTAAAATTTGGGGTACAACATGTGAGTTGTGCATTAATTGTGGGGACCACAAAATACAAGAAACCATACCACATACATACCACAAAATTTGGGCTTGTTTGCTTGAGTGTTTTGATGATGGATTTGATCATGGAAATATATCCATAATGGACTTAGAACCGAAATCCATTGTTTGTCTTAGGACTTAGGGAGATGGAATTCGTAGGGCCCACCTCTTTTGGGGTTCCAAATCCGTGGACCCCACGAACTTGGAAGTTCCACCTCTTGAGGTGGAATTTGGGTGATGGATTAAAATCCATGATGATAAATTACCTTTCTACCCTTACTTATTTCTTTAATTACAAATTTGTCCTACTTTAATTCAATGGTCATGCAATTGTAAACTTTTATGATGTCGTATTTTATAAATATGAGAATTTATCATTTCGTTTTGTAATATCGTATTTTATTTAAATATGAATGTGTATGTGATTTGTTAGATTCACCTATAAACACCTTATGCTCATTTTATGCATGATTATTTGATTGACTGTCGGATTCCAAAATCGGGGAGTTAGCAAGAAGATGATAAGTTGTAGCAATAAAGCAAGCAATAGGTTGCAATTGATACATAATATTGCGTACATTATTAGAAGAATTGTTAATCAGTATCAAATTGTAATACATTTCTATATTTGTAGTTATTAAATTATTAGTCCACACAGTGGTTAAGAGTTTAAAATTTCTTTCTATGTTTTGAATTTGTTTTAAATGAAAGATTTGGATGATAAATAGAAATATAATTAGATAATGGTAACAAGGTAATTTGTATTTAATATCCACAAATCTAATCAAACAAAATCCATAATCAAATTCAACAAGCAAATAATAGACTTGTTCAAATCCATAATGCCTCCAAATCCATCATATATCCATGACGCAAACTCCTATCCCACCACATCATAAATAAAATTTAAAGGTGATACTCGATGCGGTTATGAGTTAACCGCACCACAAAGGCGGTTAGCCGAGATCGACTATGAGTGAAAATCGTCCACCGACACCGCCATTGCGATTTGCGAGCTCTATCGGTTAGCCAAAAACCGCAACCACCGACATCTGCTCGGTGAGGCGGTAGCTTAAAACCGTCACGAGGAAGGAAGAATGGTCCTTGGCGACTGCAAAGTTAACAACAAAGATGAGTTGGGGAAATGAAACCCTAAGCCTTGGGTCTGGTGTTTCTCATTCATATTTGGGTTTAAATAGGCAAAAGCTTTGCACTACAAGACAACAAGTGCAAGCTAGCATTTGGAGACAAAGATAAACAAACATTGACATTAAACTAAACTTGATGATGATGATTTCCTCTAAACCTTGTCGATCCACTTTGACATTCATGGTCATCGGTTTGAGTCTTGACGATAACTTGAAATATCTCTTGATACCCCCGCAAGCGGGTGAGCAGAGAATGTGCACACCAAGCTTAGAGAGAGAGAGAGTTCAGTCTTGACTTGAGAATGTTGCCGCACCGTTGGCTAGCTAACTTCCCTTAAAACTTCAAATGGTGAAGCTGATGCATCTTGCTAGCTAACTTCCCAAACATCTTTTGAAAAGCTGCTGTATCTGTGGCTAGCTGGCTGAAATCATCTTCTTCTTCAACCGGTGATACCACTGCATCTTTGGCTAGTTGGCATCCCATCTTCTTCTTCTTCTTCTTCTTCAACAACTTCTTCTTCTTTAACTCCTCAACCCCCAACTCAGCTTTGTAGCTTGAGTTTCTCCACATTAACTCGGATATGTTGCTGCTTTTTCTTGGTTAGCTAGCACTCCTTTCTTCTTCATCAACTACTCAACCCTCAACTTCAGCTACGTAGCTTCAGTTTATCCAAATAAGATGGGATATGCTGCTGCTTTTTCTTTTTGCTTGCTAGCACTCCGATGATCTTCAAATGTGGATAGGATATGATGTTGCTTTGTTGCAAACTACCAATTCCTTCCAAGAAACAAACCTTGAAGTCAGTCGGGGAGTGTACTGTTTGACTACTACCCTCTGCTTCTCCAAGTATATGAGGATATGTTGTGGCTTCTTGAGCTAACTAGCATTCCAAATAAAAATTACTTCAAACTCAACAGGGAGCCCTTTTAGGCGTCTTCCCTCTGTTGCACAATCTCCGGCTTGGTTCGGATATGCTGCTAACTCTGAATTCATCAGCGTAGTTCTTCCCGCTGCTGCAACTTTGGTGCTTTTCTTCATCTACTTATCTTCTTCCAGAAACAAGGACTTCTTTCTCTTGATTCTGCTCCTTCTGAAACACTTATTCTCTTCTTATTGTTCTTCAAAAAAAAAATTTGTGCTGCAACTGAACTTGCAGCTCCCCTTTTTCTTGTTTTCTATGAATTCAGAACTATAAACTTGAGATTCTTACTGTGTAGGAGGTAGCAGTGGCTTCTCCTTCCCACACAATCACGA